ACTCTGGATGATTTTGAAGTAGCTTGCGAAAAAGCGTAAGTGTGCAAGTGCTTCTTCATTGATAGTTTTCATATTAAAATCGTTAAATATTATTAATTATTTAATATGTATTTCAAACATTTTTAAATTCGTATATTCGTATTCATGTATAACTACTTTTAAAATACAATAAAATACGATTAAAATGTCCTTTCATTTACAGGACACTTTTAGTTTAGTGTAGTTATATATAGTAAGGTACCTATAACTATCGGGTTAGTCCATTAGTCGTAGGTATATTATGATCAATGACTATAATTTTCATAGYAAACTAATGAACTCGTACATGKTTGTTACTTTCTATAGGCGCTTAGTTGAAAAAATTCAAATTATATATTATTGAGTTACTTAGTAAGGTAATGGTCAGAATTGGTTGGTATGGATACTAGTAGTATGGTATACTTATACCTTGTACATGCTACATAATATAGTAGGATAATAAATTAATAGGTAGGTACCTACCTATATTTATTTATAAACTCTTACCCAAGGTTTATTCAAAGCGATTTTCATTATTCGTTCCCGTATCCGTTCAACTAAGTTGAGCTTTTTATTTTCCACAGATAACTGATCTTTAATGTTAGGATCATCAAATATCGGTTTTAAATACATCCATGTCCTAATAATTATTTGTTTTCAATTAAAATAAATACATTTGTTATAATCAAGACAAATAATTTATTTAAAATATTTATCTATGACAGGATATAAGTAGTTGTAGGTATATACCTACTTAAGGGCAGCCTTACGTATATATGGTTAGGTACTATTTTTTTTATCGTATAGGTATTATATTCTTTTTTAAAAAATTCAGTTGAAGACGTGAAATCATAAGAATGAAAATTATTTTAAAAYAAAATRTATATATATTGTTATGGTTAGGTAGGTAAGAATTTAATTTAAACTCAAAGAAGTACTTAAAAATTTGATAAGATTAATTATTGTCAACAAATCATTTAAAATGTTTAATTTTTAGTTATGTTAAACAATTTGATTTAATTAAATGTATCTATACGCCTGCCTTATTGAGTAGATACCTRCTRAGAATTTTATCTTTATATCAATTTGGTACCTATACTATCATCTATCGAGTAATCAAATAGGTATCATACTTTTGAAATTCGATCCATTCTTTAATTACATCGTTTGTAAGTTTTAATTCATCCTCCCATTTAGTTAATGGTTCTTCAAATATTCCTTTGTACGAGCTTAATGATAGTTGATTAGTAATCAAAATATGCTCATCAAGCATTTGTAGTTCTTTATCTGATATTGTTAAAATGTACATATCTTTATCATTATAAGGCATCAATTGTAACTTTACACCTTTCCATTCGTCTATCATTTTATTCAAAGCTATTTCAATTGTATATTCTTTAGAAGCATTGTCTGCCATTTGTTTGACCTCTTCTATATAGTTTTGAATACCCAATGCCAAACATTTTTTAAAATTCAGAGTTGGTGATAATATAATTTTTACTCCTATAAAAAATATTGATTGTATTATTTAATTTAATATTTCTAAATATATATTATATGAATATACTATACATATATAGGTATTTAAGTTTAGGTAGATATAGATAAGTATAAATACTGAAAATACGCGTATATTGTACCATACTATGCTATTATAGGTAATTATAATAATAATTAATCACCAGTTTTATCAAAAAATGCATCCCAATGCCTTTGCTGAATCCCTTGAGTTAATATCCCTTTTAATAAATTTATTATTGGTGTAAACTCTTCAATTTGTGTTCTTATTTCTTTGGCTACACTCAAAGTACCTGCAATCATAAAAAAAAAAAATGTTTTAACAATGTATTAGTATTATTAAAAAATAATCAAAGTTTATTTATTATTATTACCAGGTATTTCAGCGAATTGTTCAATAGATTTTGTGGCAATGTTTAGTAAATTGTTTAACAAAGGTTCTAGAGTAGATTTATCTATATTTRTTAAGGGATTTTGCATACACGCATTTTTCAATTTATAAAACTCTGAAGCACTTAGCCATAATGTTTTATATGGTTCAAATTCGTCCAGCAATCGATTGATATTATCAAAAGGTGTCACCTGTAATATTATACAATTTAAGAGTAGATTAGTGGTGTCATTTAAGATTTTAATTGAGGGGTCAAATTGTTTTGACTAATCTTATAGGTGCCTACCTAACTTTAAAATAAGCCACTCGCAAGCATATCTCTACTTAAATTTTTATCAAATTACAATTACCATTTATTATTTTACTATAAGCTTTACAAAATTACACCTAGGTGCAACGAAACCATTTTCCATATCGTAATTTACAAAATATATACCTAATCAGCAGATATTTTATAATATCAATTATTAATAATTTTAGATTTTAGAAATTAAACTGTTTCACACAACCTACTCACCAACATTCGTGCACATGCATCCCCAAGCGTCTAACATAAATATATTCTAACTTATTAATTAGGTAAGAATTTATCATTTTAACAATAATTTCCTAGGAAGTCCAGCATATAGTATTATTTATAAAAACTAAAAATAAACAATATAAGCATACTTTTTTCACAAATTAATAATAATCGTCAAATACTTTGGTGTGGAGTAGTGGTTGAAATCAATTGTRAAACACAATCTGAGAGTAAGCATCGGCCGGTGCCACTATAGTTCCCAAATGGATGACCAGCGGGTTCTTAGTGGAAAATCCTATTGTCACACATACACATACGACGAGACTAAAACTAACCGTACCCCTCTTCTCCCACAGTAACAAATATATATACTATACCAACTCCCCCACAAAAAAAAAAAATCAAATACCTAGTCATAATTACCATGCTCAAGTTCAATAAAAAAAATTTAAAATAATGGTTGAACAACAACATCAGCCTGCTTTTATAATAGGAAAAAATTCTGAAATACCTAACTCACTCCTCCTCCTACCCAAATGATGGCACTGAAGTAARTTATTATTTGTTAAAAATCTATTAATCTCAATAAATAAAATAATAATAAAACAAAATGTATTGTATATAATTGAACTGACCGTATGACCAAAAAGTTGTTGTCTTCGGTTTAAAGTTTGACCAGTTAATTTAAGGTCTTTAATTAGTTTCCAATTTTTGTTTACTTCTACCGCAATCTCATTTACTTTTGACAAATTATTTTCAATATTTAACTTTAAAATAACACTAGTTAAATATTCCAAATTATCTTGTAATAATAATTCATCTTCGAATTGAATTTTCTCAAATCGTTCAATATATGTTTCTATATTTTGTAATGACTCTCTTATTCTTAGCTGGATCTTATAAGGCCAAATTTGRGAGACATATTTTAGTTTTAACTGTTCATCATCTAATATCCATAAAAATGTATCCAATATTTCCATATCCTATAAATAATTGATTGACATATTGTATTGGTATAATACATTTGTGATTGGTATAAATATAATATAATATTACCTCAAATAATTGCCTTACGATTTCAGACTGTTTACTTATTAAAAGTGRTGAGSTATCTATCCATTCTTTTATTTCAAACACTTGTTCTATTGATGTTGGAATTTCAATAAGCCTCTGATACATTCGATTGTATGTTGCGCAACATACCTCTATTTTCTCGGTTATTAAACTCGCATGTGTTTTCATAATTAAGTCTGCTAAATCGATTCGTTTTCTTACCAATACATGTTTCAATAATTCAATATTTATAGCAAATAGGCCAATAGTAATAGTCTCTGGAAATGTTTTCTCTAGTTGTAACTTCATTGTTATTTGCATTGACATTTCTTCTTTTATTCTACTTGGTGATGGATTACCATCAAAGAATTTCCTATTAAATACAATCATATTAAATTGCATTATTAATATTTATTTCAGGTAGCAAATTCATTTATACTAACTTTACATACGACTCGACTTCCGTATTAAACAAACACGAATGGGTATGAAATTCTTTACAGTATGCTTTTAATAGAATAATAGATGAGCGAATACTATTTWCAATGGCAGATTTTAGCTCGGTAATTTTGGTTTCAAGTAATCCTATTGATGTTAAATATGGTTTTTCGGCAAATTTCAGGTTAGTGAGTAAATATGGATGAATAGCTGGTATCTCGTGACTTTCAAGTATCACACGTTCAAATAAACTCACAATAACAGGCTAAAAAATGCATAACCTAATTGTAGTACGTTCTAATAATAGATATATTCATACTAAGATAGGTACTCTACATTGCATCTATTACTTATATTATGAATGAGTAAATTTTATGGTATTAATATAAACAGATATTTTACTTATCATTTTCAAAAGATGACAATTAATTAATAGTACCTATAACTAAATATTATAATATATCATAAAAATAATTAGATTGAAAATGAAGGGTTGAAGATTATAATCTTGTATATTGAACTGACTATACAAGTTTAAGTAAATATGATATGATTGAATATATTATAATATTATTGCCTATAATCTATATGTAAAATAGGCCCATGTGTTGGGTAAGTAACACTATGTTTTGGTGATAAACTTACAGTATTATAAATTACACTTAAAAGTCGTAATTAAATTACATATTCTAGATTTTTAGTTCAGACAAGTTAAATTACTTTTTTATTTTTATTTTAAAAAATATCACAGCAGTAKAGAGCTAAAATAATTAAGTCGTTGATACATTAACTAAGTAATGCCAATCAACAATATGAAATTATAAACAATCTTTTTTGAGAACTAAAGAAAACAATTATATCATATTATGTCTCAACACATTAATCTTTATAACTTTTTAAAAAAATAATAAATTCTCTAAATTAAAACTTATGAAGTTATGAGGATTAAAACTTAGATGTCATTTGTCAAATGAAAATTGTTGGCTTAACAAAAATGTTACTGTCAGAAAATTGTACTCTAATGATTCATAGATACTATTATATTATGATGTAGTGAATCAATTATTAAATTAAGTTAAACAGTAATTAACTAAGTACGATTAATTTTCTTACCAACAATAAAATGTAATAATTAAATTTCTTAAAAAAAAAAAAAAAATGCGACAATAAATTGTAACCAAAATTAAGTTAATTCCCAATACCCCAACATTTCCAACAGCTTACATTGAAGATACCTATATAATATAATTATAATTTTTTATTGCCTTATAATAGCGTTTCTCAAACTGTGATATAGATGGCCACGCATGTATACAGAAGGGACTGGGCTGCGAATAATTAATATTTATTATTGTTAGATTAGGTTATTTTTATTTCGGTCTCTGCAATCATTTTTACTATCCTCTAAGGAGTTTGGAGGAGGAAAATATTTAGAAACGCTGCTTTATATAACTCTATAAAATATCAAATGTATTGTGTACACCTTATAATAAATAAATATTAAGTCATACTTAAATAAAATAAAAATATATATTATATTATATGTCTATGTCTACAGCTACAAATATTATAATTTATACTTCTATGTGTAAAATAAAAATAATTTTTGTTTTTTAATTGGAAGTAATTTGTATAGATCCACATTAAATCAGTGTTTATACAGCTATACGCCTATATACGCTATACATACAACATACTTCAAACTTATCCAGATCAATAGAGTAATATGCTCCATTTTCGTTCATATTGAGTATTATAGAAAATAATGGAGGYGCGCATTCTTCAAATGGTGATTTATTCAAATCACTGCCCCACACAAAATCATCAGTAATACCTTTCATTGCGATGCAAGGTTGTTCGATTAGTGTAGTATATCTTTTTGCTGAATTTATCACTATTGATCTTAGACGTTCCTATACAGGTGAATAACTATTAACTATACAGTAGTATACATTTAGATAGTGTAGATAAATTATAAAAATACACAATTTCTTACTTCCATCATATACTTAATAAGTGTCATTAATTTTCGTAATTTGTTTATTGATGATTCATAAGTCTTAATATTACTTGTTCCAATATCAAACCAACAGTTTTTTAAACTCTTTAAAGCTTCATAACATTTGAATGTTATTTCTTTTATCCAATAGTTCTTAAGCAAGCTAAAAGTCTAAAAACATATGCCATTTGTTAATATCTCTCTACATAAAAATGAATCCCTATTTTCCTTGGTGAAATCATCATGCTAATCATTGCGTTAATTATAGATAACGTGGAAATCGATTACAGTTCATACCAAGTTGCTATTGGACTAATGAACGTCGGGTGCTCGATATTATAATACTTTATTAATATCATTGTTACCTAACTATGCACTTCATAGTCAGTATAAATTTACCTCTTGAATTATGTCTCCCAAAAAAAGTTCAATCAGTAGTTTACGCCTTAAGCACGAAAGAAAATGACAGTACGAGCTTCAGAAACAATCAAACAAAAAAAATGCAAGATTAGAAACCGACACACAACTTCACGCACTATCGCATTCATCCGAAATAACTGAGCAACGAAATGCAAGATAGGAAACAAACAGACAACTTTATGCTCGATAGGGACGAATCACTCACATAGATTTGAATCTCAGTGCATTCCATTACGATTTTAATTTTAACGACAGCACTCATTCAACTGTGATTATTGAAAAAATGGATAAATTATGCATATATAAATTGTAGAGCATTCAAATTTAAGAATGAGGCTTCAGGTATGCGCTGTGCTAGTGGAAAAGTAAAATTGCCAGAATCACATACCATACTAAGTGCTTGACTGATTGCGACAAAATTTGGTACTGAGATATATTAGACCTATGTACAGAAGATAGGATAAATTAAATGCGAATATGCGATAGGCACAAATATCATTCAATCGAATATTCGAATTATCAGAATGTTCTCGATAAAACGAATAAAATTACACAATGATAAACTAAATCGAATATGAAAATGTAAGATTATTACTTAGTATATTTTAACCATTATCTACCTATTATTAAATGTTATTAAAAGTATRCTGCTAGCAAAATCACAGRAAATGAATTTAACACAAAGTTTGAGACATATAAGAGTTAGAWTTTTTAACGGRCTACGAAGTGCACCGGYTCAGCTAGTATTTTATGCATATTTGTAAAAAAAATAATCACAAAAACAATTACATACTTCAGAAATATTTTTGATCTGTATCGTTTCAAATTCTTTAAGTGTTACAACGACTGGAAAAACAGTAAATAACAAACTTGTATCTTTTATAAGCCTGTTTTCTGCATTGGTCTCACAGAGAGCTGTAAAAACTTCAGATAATTCTAATAGTTTTTTTCTATTGAAATCTTTTATTGAATTTATAAATGCTTGATTTGATCCCATTAATGTTTTACTTAATCGTGCTGTTAAATATGATGAAACAATTAATATACAGTTAATTAATGCATTAAACTATTACTAATTCTTACAAGGATKTTTTGTGAAGAGTTCAAAACTAAAATTTGGTATTTTCAGGGTGTTGTGATGGTCTTCTGTCTTAGATTTTAATAATTGAAGCCTATTTGATAGGCACGATTCTCGATAAATGTTATTAATTTGTTGAACAATCTATATAAAATAAAATATAATTGATAAGATTTAAATAAGTATAATAATAATATGTACTATATACTATATATTTTAAAAAATTACTAGAAGGATAGGGAGAAAAACGAATTCATTTTATCTTATGCGCTATTTTGATAGGTATGCGGAAAGAAAACATTAAAGTTAGTGACTTTATTATTATGTATTTATTTTATTACAATGATTCTTTTATATATATAATTTTTATTCCATATTATTAGCTTAGAATTGTTTTTCGGATGAAATGAATAATGATATAACATTAAATTAAAACTTAACGTCTTCCATTACAGTGACCTATATCATGACACCTAATTGATCTTTACTTATAAGTTATAAGTTATAGACAATATGATTAGATGAAAAAAATTTGGAAACCATTAAATGTTTTTGCAACCACCCCAGTACGGTCCTGCAGTGACGCTTATAATATATTATGATTGTGGTAGGATCAATTATTCGATTTCGATTAGTTATATAATCTAAAACATGTCTCAGAAAAACCGTTGCTGTATTTTAAGAATTCGTAGGTACTTTGAAGTTAGAACAATGGAACCCACATTGTATTATTATTTTTATATTTTTATATAATCCTTACGATATTTTTATCTTTGTTCATTTTATTGATTTTTTGATTGTTGAATATTAGACGCAATATTTGTTTAATTCTGTCATCTGGTAATGCGTCTGAAATATACTTGGAATTTTTAGCAATTATAACTTTATTAAGGTAAACAGACCACCTGCAAAAATAATATTTTCACAACTTTTTATCATGTTTACTAGGWACTAGAATAGTCTGGAAATAAACGAAAGTGAGCACTAGGGGCATGTTCTGTTGTCCCCCATGATTTTAGTTAACACAGGCCTTTTATTACTATAAGTGATTTCAAGTTTTGTAAAAACAATAAACTTAGACTTATGACTTCGACTACCCCCCTATATATCTGCGGGTACCCTTGAAAAACGAAGGCTATTTACACTCGCATAATGCAGCAAAAAGTCTATAAAAATAGGTTGGTATTATAGTAATTCAAATTGTATTGTAGTTGTTGTACTATTAAAACATTTAAAACTTAAAAACAATGTGTTATTTTTTTTAAAATAAAATTAAGCATTATTGTTTTAAATAGATTTGCTATAATATCGTAAACTTATGGGTTTGTTTAAAWAAGTTAAAATACAAAAACTTTAATTATTTTAAAACTGTAAGTCTGTATGTATAATATTCATATCTATTTATTAAATACCTATGAAATATTATACACTCGTAWGATATTTCATTAATGAAACATTCGTCACCTCAGAAATTTAAATGGACATATTATATAAGTATATAAACAGACGAATATTATGTGATAAAATTATTGAAGTATATTACTTRTACATATCTTCACAATTTTTCCGTCTTAAAATCGCATATTTGATCCTCTTTACAAATTCTCTTGGATCTTCTCCTTTAAAATGTATTTGTATTCTAGGTATTTCAGTATATACTTTGTTTGAATTGTTATTCAATGTAACAACTGAATACATTTTCAGTTTTGAATTATAATCAATTACATTCGCATTCATCCAATCGTAAGTTTCAGAGAACGCTTCATTTGAATTGGTAGGCAAGTAAACAATTGCAGGTACCGGAAAATTAATTCCATTTGTATCTTTTTTTAACCATTCATCAGGATTTCTGCTATCGAAATCGGTGTTATCGTAGTACCATAATGGTGTAAAATGATCTTTATTTGTAATTAGAACATTAGGATCATCAGGCAGAGGCACTAATTCATCATCTTCGATGCCATATTCTTCTAATAGTTGAGCAAGTGAAAATGTTGCGTATAACTTTTTCAAACGTTCTAGATTAACGACCCTCAACATAATGTCTGAAAATTTTTTGGTTTTATGATTGATATTTATTTATATAAATTTTAGGTATGTAGTTTTATGACAGACTAAAAATTAAAATATATTTATSACTTAAAAACTAAATAGTAATAATTACAAGTGCTCAAAGAAGTAAGTAAATAGCTAAGTAATAAAAAGGAATTATAAAAATATAAGCTAAATAAATACTTACGGGATATAATRTGGTCCTGGAAATGTTTAAATTATGATTATATATAATAAAATAAAATAAACCCTATGTACCTGCTTTTTATTCACAGCCACAAACAAAAATAATTAAATGATAAATGCACAACTAACAATAAAGTTGATTATTATTAAAATTAAAATAAACAATTTTAGGATTTGATCAATTGCCAGATTTCTCCTAAGAGATAAATATTATTTTCAAGCCAGATAATAAATATTATTATTGCTGATTTTTTACAATTMTTTTTTCTTATACTATAAAAGCAAGTCCTGACCTTTTGTAACGACTTGACTCCGAAACGGCTAGACCGATATGGATGATTTTTTTTTTGGTGTGTTCGTCGTTGTCAGGACAAGGTTTAGATGAAATAAAATTTTAGAAAAATCCACCGGAAAAGTAGGAAACTTGGATGTCAAAAATACAATAGCGGTGCCATCTGTCCAGAAATATATTAATTAAATAATCATTTTTTATTTGTTTATTGTAATGTTGCTATTGGTAGCTGTCGCCCCCGGAGATTCAGACTTTAAATAATAGGAAAACAAGACCACAATCAGATGATCAAATTTCGATTGTATATTGTTCTATGCAAAGTGGATTGATTGGTTCAATAGTGTTACGATCTGCCCTACGGTATCCTCTCAATTGTAATCGTAGTTTGTCGTATATATCGTTTATCAACATGCCATCCAGAAAAAGGCCTTTTATTGGCCGTGACACAAATGATTCAAGAAAACAGAAAAGACATCGTCTAGATAAATGCAACGAAGAACAATAATTGCAGCGATGCCAACGAGGGGTTATTAATCTGGAGTTAGTAGCTCTACATTATGAACCAGACGTCGGTTATCTATCACTTATACTTTAAGGTTTTAATTGGAGATATGACCATTTTGTCCATTTTGTTTTGCGTTGAWATTCCAATTAGAAACTCCTTCAATGTGTTGCTCTAATGGCAAAATAAAATTAACACCTCTCAAGAATCCACCCGAACCGTTATCGTTGTTACTCCAGAATCAAAACTCTTTCTACAATAAAACATTCGAAAATACAACAACTGCTTCCAAATGACGTCGTTTGGAGCAAAATAAATCAGAGGAGGTAGTTTCAACGAGAAAACGTTCAAGATTCAAGGACAAATAAAGCTGAGTCCCTGCTTTTATAATATAGATTTTTTGTTTTGGAAATGAATTCAACACACAGTTTAAGACATATAAGAGTTAGGATTTTTAACGGGCTACGAAGTGCACCGGTTCAGCTAGTATTTTATGCCTATTTGTTGAAACAATAATCACAAAAACAATTACATACTTCAGAAATATGTTTGATCTGTATCGTTTCAAATTATTTTAGA